TTAGAGATTGGGCAATTTTGGCTTGCACTAAAAATTTTGATAAGGAGTGCCAGCAGAAAGCTCAATCACTGATAAGAAAAACTTGATTAAAAAAATGCACTTTTGGCTTGCGCCAACCCTTAAAATTAATTGAAGTTTTACGTCAAACACAATTTCTTTCAATTAAAGATTTTGCATGTTACTTTATTTGAAATTCGGAACAAGCGTCCAGAAAAAAAATTGACGCATCTGTTTCTTTTTTTTCATTTTTCAATTCGTTGGAGATAAAATCAAGAAACAACCACAGAAGAATTTTGCAAAAAAGCATAACATGAGTACCCAAAGACTGTGTAAATATCACACTTAATAAAACTAAAGTCGTTGATAAAATAAAACATAGAAACCAAAGAAACAAAAAACTTCATTGGTCACGAAAATATAAATATTTTTCCTATTTCTGTCGTTTGTTTTGAGTGCTGTTATATTATTATGTGAACTTAGGCTTCAAAAATTGGATTTCGATGCAAAAATCTAACTTTTCAAAATTTGAGTAACAAAATAAATTTCTAAACTTTGGCAAAACTTTCAAAAACACTGTTTTTAAAAAATTAAAAATTTTTTAATCATGCCTTGCCAAAGGTATACAAAAATAAAAAACACAAAAAAAAAAATAAACTTTTGAGCGTTTTTGAAACGGAAAATAACCATTGTTTGTCTATCCAGGAGTGCCTGTATGACAAAATGGCGATTGAAATCGATATAAATTGATTTTTGTACAGATATTATACTGTATGTAAATCGATTTACTTAAAATAAATGGGTTTTTACGCTAGAAAAAAAATCGATTTTATTGCCAAAAAAAACTGATTTGAACTGCGTTGCATGGGTTTTTACAAAATTGATTGAAAATAACTACTTTTTGTATCGAAACCTGAGCAATCTTTTGTACCCACAAAAAACCTCCGTCGGAGCTGCAGAGGACAAGAACTATTCGAGGAGAGTCTTTTTACCTCAAACTATTGTGATGAATTCTTACCTTTTGAGTTTTGAAAATATAAGGGCATGAAAAGTTTTAAAAAATTCCAAGTGTCATTCTCTTTATCAGCGATTTTTAGCAAGAACAAAAAAAAACAAATCTTGATTCGGAATCCGCATACTCTTCGCAAAGTTCACAGTTTGGCCTCGAAATGCAATTATTGTACTACCTGCTGCTTACACAATATTTTTTTTGCTCTGAGTATGAACTTTTTTGTAATGAGTTTATTATAAGCATCTAAGAAAAAGAAAAATATTTCGTAAAGCAACCGCAAATAAACTTTATGGATATACATGGGTATACTTTATGATTATGTTTTTTGCACTATGAAATTGTATGACAAGCATTTTTTCACAGAGTATAACTGGCCTTTAGAAAACTGCATTTGGTGATTTTAGCCATGCAGGCTAAGGTTAACATTTTGACACAGAATTATATACCAAAAACGTAATTTTTTCTATGGCTAGAAAGTTTTCATTATGACAGTTTCGGTGGGTGATTGAGAAAAGAGGCCTTCTTTATAAATTTATGTTAGATCAAATTAACATCCTCCTCCCCCCCCCCTCCCAAATAGACCAAGTTAAGATCCTCCACCCCAGCGCCCTCCACCCCAGCGCTTAATATAAATTAAATTTGCTAAGCGCTGCATGTAAAATGCTAGATTCTGAGATTCTGATTGGCTGAAAATTCCCAACTTAGAACCAAGTTAACATCCTCCCCCCTAAACGTGTTTAGGGGGGAGGATGTTAACTTGGTCCTTTATGTTTATCATAACATATGAAAACAAAAAAAATAGTGTTCATAAAAAAACCTTGCTGGGGATTCTTGGATTATCTGGGTGAAAAAGTCAACCTGGACTAGGTTATCGACACAAAAAGTCAAAAAAAATTGTTTTATTTGAATTTTAAACCATTTCAAAATAATTTTCGAAAAAAAATTTCAATTATCATAACCCGGCATCAATTGGAAAAAAAAAATATTTTTAATTAGCTAATTTTGAGAAAGACGCGTTATCAAAATCTAAATTTAAAACAGTAAGACAGTTAGCATGCTAAGTGAGTGTTACAATAAGTGACATGACTTTGCGATTTGCTCAGCAAAAAGACATTCCGTAGAGGGTGAACAGGTTTAAATTGATGAATGCTTCCACTTTAGGCAACTTGCTTCCACTTAGATACTGATTCAGATTGATGAACTTGGAATTACTTGAGCTGCTTAGTGATCCACATCTTTTTAAAACACTACTTAACCCTGCATTTCAATTTCGCCTTATAAAAACTTTATAGCTGTAGCAGCTTTCAAAAAAGACCAACGCAATGTTGCTTACAAGGTGGTTATTACGTTTTTTGAGAAAACTTTGTAGACAAAAGATCAATTTCGTCGGATGAAACAAAAAGTTTCTTATGTAAGGCGTTCTCGAACAGTTGAACACGCTCCATGTTTTCAAAATTTGCAAGGATACAGTTTTGTATGCAAGGTCGAACGCATCAGAGACAGAGGATTAAGCCGAAAAGTTGATGATTTTTATTTATTCGATTTGATATGATTTCTTTGATATTCGAATGATTACTTGCAAAAATTGAGTTTGAGACCAGGTCTATTGTCATTATCAGATAGTTTTGATAATTGCAACGATGGTTGAAATTTGTTTCAATCCAAATTAGCCAAACTGTTAAAGTTGTTCTATTTTTTGTTGAATTTGAGAGTGGCAGAAATGTGTTTGTCATTCGTAAATCTTTAACACCGCAGCTCAATATTTTAAATTATAAAAAAACAGTAGCAAAACGCAATTTTCGAATATTTTTGTAAAGCTTCGAAAACCTTTAGGTATCCCTAGTCGATCAAGGGAGGTTATCTTGCAAGATCTTGGTTTATCTGCTACTTGGTTGTCTTCGCGTGTAAAGCTGTTTTTGCCCAAAAAAATTGTATCTTTAAAGATCTTGCAAAAAAAAGGTTATATTTAGAGGAGGTTATCTTGCAAGATCTTGCAAGAATCTTGCAAGATCTTTTAAAGAGATGCATCCTCTTTAAAAGAATCTTGCAAGATTCTTGCAAGATCTTGCAAGATAACCTCCCTTGATCGACTAGGGATTTCATTAATTTTTAGAGAGCCTCTGTTTTCTTGAAAGATTTTTCGGAAAGAATTCGCCTAGTTAGCCATGATTTTCTTTTAAAATTAGACATGATTGTTCTTTATGTTTGGTTTCCATGATTGTTTTCTTTGAAATTTAGCCAGATTGTTCAAAAAATTTAATATTGATGGACATACTTTACTCAGTACTCCAGATAATTGCGAAAACTTAAAAGTTAGTTTACTGTAGGTTCCGTCATAGTTTTTTCGGTAGTTAGCCATGATTTTCTTTAAAATTTGAAAAATGATTGTTCTTTATGTTTGGTTGCCATGATTGTTTTCTTCGAAATTTAGCCAGATTGTTCAAAAAACTCTGAGATTGATTAACATGGTTTGCTCCGTACTCCAGATAATTGCAAAATTTTAAAATTTATTTTGCTGTCGGTTCCGTAATAGTTTTTTCCTCAGCGCAAAACTGTTTTTTTTTGTTTTTATTGACAAACATGAAAAGTTGTTAATATAACCCAGAGTAAAAAATTACTTGCTGTATGATACTCCTGAGTTTATTTGTCGATTCAAACCAAGATGCTTATTAGTTTCGTTTACAAAAACCAATTTTTCATCCCGTTTAATGCCAAGATACCGTGCTGAATCTCTGGTTTTCAATTTCCCCTTTTCAGTAAACAAAGAACCAAATGATTCTGAGTTTTTGAAATGTATGTACGTATGTATGTATGTAGGTATGTATGTATGTATGTATATATGTATGTATGTATGTATGTATGCATGTATGTATGTATGTATGTATGTATGTATGTATGTATGTATGTATGTATGTATGTATGTATCCATGTATGTATGTATGTACGTATGTACGTATGTATGTATGATGTATGTATGTATGCATGTATGTATGTATGTATGTATGTATGTATGTATGTATGTATGTATGTATGTATGTATGTATGTGTATGTATGTATGTTTGTATGTATGCAAGTATGTATGTATGTATGTATGTATGTATGTATGTATGTATGTATGCATGTATGTATGTATGTATGTATGTATGTATGTATGTATGTATATATGTATATATGTATGTATGTATGTATGTATGTATGTATGTATGTATGTATGTATGTATGTATGTATGTATGTTTATGTATGTATGCAGGATGTATGTATGTATGTAAGCTTGTATAGATCTATGTATGCAGGGGCGGATTTAGGGAGGGGGCGGGGGGACGCCCCATTCCCTCAGGGATTCGACCCCCTGCCGACGCAAAGGGTGCCCCTTTGGTACTTTTTAAGAAATCAATTTTTGCCCGACCGACCCTAAATTTTTTCTAAAGGCTCTTTTGGCACCAATTTATACTAACTTTGAGGGGGAGCGCGCGCCAAAAAAAAACGCAAATTTTTTTGTCAAAATTTTTCAAAAAGTGCCCAAAAACGGCTATTTTGACCTGTTTTTTCAAAAGTTTGCCTGCGGTGCAGAAAGTTTGGTGAAAACAGCGTCTTTTTAGTGATTTAGGAGAGCTCGGAAAATCAATTTTGTCGATCGACCAATAAAAAAAGGTCGTCAAAAATTTTTTAATATACCCCTTGAGAAAATCCTAGATCCGCCCCTGTATGTATGTATTTATTTTTTATTATGTAAGTGAAATAATAATGCATTTGTCAAAAAGAGATTTTTTTAAAAACGTTAAAAATTTTATGTTGAAAGTGTTTTGTGTGTTGTGGTTGTTAAAAAGATAAAAATGCCATTTTCAATTTCCAAAAAAATGAACCGAAAAAAAGTCTGTGACAATCTTGTATTCCGAGCCAATTTAGTTAGTTTTTATGAATCTTAATTTCAGCTGAAATCCTTCATGCCGATTCTTATCATTAATTGTCCGTTAATGAACCTGGTTAACCTGTCCTGTAGAAGTTGATGATTTGCTCAAATGCTCCTGGATGTCTATCGAAAAAAAAGAAGCGCTGGTCTGCGTCATACTCGACACAGTTCTTGAGTGGATTTTCGCATAACCAATACAGTCTTGTGTCAGGAATTGTATGCAGAGTACTTCTATAAGTTTCGTGTTTGATTCCGCCGACATTGATCACAATTCGCTCGTCGATATTCGTGTCGTGTTTTTTTTTCACTGAAGTCCCACGAGAGATGTCCGATTCGGCAACGCTCCCTATCGACATGCCGAAACACGCATTGGTTGTACGACGGGATAACATGGTAAATGTTTTAAACGAGATTCAAGCTTCACTTTGTTGAAATTTTGGGGAAAAAAAGATAAATCAATGGCGATTATTTTCAGAATTATTTATCATTTGAACTAGACGTAAGTTTTACTCTGATATCATCTATGAAGCAATAAATGCTCTATGTTTCAATTTTAGTTACTTGAAGCTGATCAGCATACAGCAAGGCTTAAGTTCTAAATGTTGCATTATAATTAAGTTGAAAAAGCAGAATGTATGAAATCCATCAGAAGCACAAGATCAATAGGGGAAAGTAACTGAATAAATAATAGGGAGAAATTGTTGTAATATTCTTCTGTTTGATGACAGATGTAAATGGTAATACCTGGCGCTATAGCACCGTTCCTTCATCACATCAAAACAATCACTTTTCATTGGCTACATGCAAACGAAGCTTAACTGCAGGGAAGGGATTCTAAATGTAGTTTCACTTTACATCATCAAACCATATTATTTCTAAAACTAAAAAAATATATATATACTTTTTGAAAAACAATTTAAACAAAAAAAATTTCTTTTTCAAAAAGATATATTCATTTTTCTTAAGGTTGCTCCAAAAGTGACTCGGTTGCGATAGTTCTGCAAAAAAAATTGGCGCTTAATTTCTCTGACTTGGCTGTTTTTGCTGAAGTTGGGTTCAATTTATCGCTCAATAAAGATACGTTATAAATATAAAAGTGCGCCTGGTTTGTGTGTGTTTCTGCTTTAGGTGACGAAAAGAGCCGCATACCTTGACCACGGATTAATCAGGCATAAATATTGTTTTTTTTTCCACCAAAGTGCCTCGAGTTATTCGATTTTTCAATGCATTATTAACGCAGATATATTCTTGCAACTTATTATTATGTTTAATTTTACTATGAAGAAATGAAGAAAATCTGCCAACCCGTGAAAGTGTTTAATTTACTTTGTAGAAATGAAGAAATTTTACACTTCTGGGGTAAAGACTGTTTTGACGTATTTCAGTTTTGACCCGATAGTTGACATGAAGAGTCATATAGCACTTTCGTCGAAACAAAACTTAAAAAGTAATGAGTGATTCAGAATTTGAGAAGTGTATAAAATTACTAGAAATAAGTAATTGACAAAATTTCTGATAAATTACTCTACAAAAAGGCAAGAATAGTTCAACATTTTTCCGCTACAAGTATGTAAATAATTTATCGGATTAAAAAAAGGTTGGGTTTTGCTAGTAAAACTGAAATGTTGCGCATTGAATCTATCTGCGAATAAAAAAAACGGCTGTCAAAAAATAAACTGAGAGGTAATTTTAAACGGATCATCAAATGAAAAGACAGTTCAAGTTAGCATGCCGGAAGGGTTTTTATTGCACCCAAACAAAAGGGCGAAAGAGAATGGTGAGATTGGAATAATACCAACGAAATAGGTACTGTTCAATTATTTGTCACAAAAATGGTAAGTAGGCCACACTTTCCCAATTCATAGCCATTTTTTATTCCCAAAACAACGATTCCTACTTATACTACCCCCAAACCCACCTAGATGTTTATTATTCGACTGATTTTCTTTGGAATTATAGCGCTTCTTTGTGACTTTGAGAGAAAATTAGCAGAAATGCTATTGGGTTTTGAAACAACCTCGAAGCGAAAACAGAGTTATACAAAAACAATATAAATTGCTGTAGTTTTCAGTTGGAACATAAGAACTCGTCACAATTTTGGGCAAGCTTCCAGTCAAATTTCTGAAACGTTTAGCGGAAAGTCATAAACATATTTAAGAGAAGTTTAGTTTCAGATATAAATAATATTTGTTAACATTAAGCTAATTCAGATCATTAGAGGGAAAATTTAACTCGTTATTGCTGAAAACGCCACAAAATATGCTTTGTATTCAATCATTAGGTTTTCATGGCTTCAATAATAAATTCGTACGCTACCTTCCGGTTAAAATGAAGGTGAAAAGAGCAGTGAACAATTAAGTATTCATATAAAAAAGAAATGGTACACTATATAATAATATTGGTACGAATGTGCAACTTGTGCATTTTCAGGGGCGTTTATTATTCATGGAATTGCGTTTTACTTGTGTTAGAGCAGACAACAACACTTCTGGTGAAGGTAAATTTTCAGCCGTTAATTGAGCCAAAAATCATCTCAAATGCAGAAACTGAAATATTGTGTATGTGTAATATGTATAATGATTTAGATTTGCAAAAAAAATTAAATTTTTATAAAAATTTAATTGTTTGCGAAACTAGATATTCTGATTTTTCCGGGAAAATTTAGGAATATGAAGACTTGTTTTAATCCAAAAATGAAATTTTTCCGGCTTAATAAGTATACTGAATTAAATTCTTTGTTCTGACCCGCGATTTTGCCAGTTTTTTTCAAACAAAAGTTCAAAGGCAATCTTTGTGCTCCATAAAATAAAAAGTATGTGTCAAAAATTTCATTTTTTCGGAATTGATGAAAACGTATAATGATATCTTTTACGTCAATTTTGACACAAGAAAACGAAGACGGATTTGAGTGGGTGAGCTAAGAGGAGAGAAGGGTCGTCATTTAAGTGATCGACTTCAATATAACTAACGCAGTAGGACTCATTTTGACAGGATAAACTCACTTAACAGAATAGTCTGCATGACAGAAAAAACCGATTGCCAAAAATTACTGAAGTACTGAAGTATTGAAAGAATTTGGCCAAGAAAAATCGAGGCATTTGTTTGGTTAGAAATTTTCAGCTATTTAGACCTTCTGACGTAAAATCAAGGAATTATTTCTGCCGTTATCAGCTGCAATTATACAAATCTGTCAAAAATGTCTATTGTAAAAATGATTTATGTTCATCGAACTTTCTTGTTTTTCTTTCCCAAAAAATAATGGGAAACGATTAGGTTTGTTGTTTCTTTTTCAAAATAACTCTAAAAATTTGAGAGCTCGAAGTCGAACTAATTGAGGATTGATGAGAATTTATGAAGAAATATGAATCACTGCAGCGTGAAACAAAACAGTGAACTCATCAATCACCATTAAAAATCCCTGAAATGGCGCAAAAAAGTGGGAAAAGTAGCTGCGAAATTAAAAGAGAACAGCTAAGATATATCACCCAGCTTTTTTGCCTCCACGGACTGAGAGTTTTTATAGCAGAGTGGATGAAAATACATAAAAAAGACATTCTGTGGAGGATGCGTCCTTAAGAGCGGTTGATTTAATTGAATTGTGGAATTCCACTTTATAGATGCTAATTCAACCCGATTGCCAATCCAAAGATTGTTGTTGGGCGCCAATACAATAAGTATAAATCGACTTCGCAAAAAAGCATAGAGAACGCAGGGGGCTCTTTGCTTGCATTAAGATTGTCATAAAAATATTGAAAACCAACCCAATCGAAAAGCATAAACATAATTGAAAAAAACCATAGAAAGATGGTTTGTACAACTAGTTTTTACAAACCATCCCAGCAACCGGCTATCCTATATTCTAACTAGGTTTGTACAATCTATGCACAACCAACTAAAAGAATTTAAAACATTATTAAAATGTGTTGAATTAAAAAGGCTGTTCATTACGAGGCCAAACTGTGTAGTTTGTGAAATGTGAGCGGATTCCACAACAAGGCCGCTGCCTTTGTTCTTCTGTTGTTCTTTCTTTTTCTTTGATCGTTTGGAAAAAATTTATACGAGTCTAAAGATTTTTTATCGAATCTAGGAACATACAGACACAAGACACAAAATTGTAAGACAATCCAGTGATCAGTTTGGCCTCGTAATGCTCTAAAACTAACACGAACAGTTAATGATCGGTCATGTGGTAAGCTGACTGGTATCTAATCAATACCAAAGGTCAAACTGAATATAATACTAAAGAAATCACAACATTCCCGGAGGAGAAAAAATTTACAATTACATAAAATTAATTCTTGATAAACCTATTTCTCCCTTGAGTGTAGGTTGAAGTTATTTAAAAACTCTACATGACTCGAAATAGATAAACCGAGCGAAATAATGAATCTACAATTAGAATTTGGTATGTACAACAAGGTACAAGATGAGACAAATTACAGAAATTACAAAACGATGTCATCTAAGTTGAGTTGACAACAAATCTAATCTACAAGAGTAACACCTAGCAGATACATGATAAATTTTACAAGTTGTTAAGAAATTATAAAAAGGAAGTTTTAAACGATGAAGTTTTTTATTTTTAGTTTGAATCAAGTTCCTCTAATGTGTTTCTCAGTTCCGTGTCAACCGTTGACAATATTTCCGTCACACCATCTGTATTTTTGTTCATGGATGGAGATTTTAGCTGAAAAGTGCGAGTAGATCCACTGGGGGAGATGAATAACGTAGTCTGTAACTGGGTAGGATGAACTCGGCCCGGTGGGAAGTAATTTGGTGAAGACCAGGTTAGTGTGGTTTCAGCTACTTAATGAGTAAAACTAGCTGGAGTTGGATCGGGAATGAGGACTTTGACCAATGAAATGAACACAGGGACTCCTTTTCTGAAACTTTTTTGACAAAAAAGCTGCGCTCTTGTAGAAAATGGGGAGGCGGCTCTTCTTCGAAACCTGGATGGTCCTGCTTGAGGTCCTATTGGCGATGGCTCTTCTCGCGGACTATCAAGTTGAATAGGATCGTCTTATGTTCCTCTAGTCCTTGAAGTGCCCGGTTGATCCGATACTCCAGAAGATACCCTGGTCCACTTGAGTGAGCCCTAATAGGATTTTCCCCCTGTAATACTTAAATCGCAGCTAGAAACTGCCGGTGTGTCCTCGCAATCAGGGACATTGTTGATTGAGACATCGTCGAAATAGTCGTCAATTAGCCCATCCCACGATTTTAAGTTTAGAGAGGAATGAATAGGATTCTGAATTGTTCTGTGGCGATCCGGGGATCACTACTATCTCCACTGGAAGCTGGTTGTTTCCTGAGGTTGGGCCGGGATTGCCAGTTTTCGAACGTCGTCTGCAAAGAAGTAGTCCCAGAAACCCTTATGAATGGAAACATGTTCTTTTTCCTGTTAAATTTGAAGATTGGTTATTTTTGTGCACCATTAGAGTTGATTTGAGCAAAATTTTAGTAGGGCTGGCAAGCAATTTTTTTTGGAAGCAAAGCCCGACTTTCGTAAAATCTGGCCGGTTTCGAGTGTGACTGTCTGGTCAGAAGAGTCAATGATGTTCTCTTTCACCATGTCAAAATATAATTCCCCATTCTTTCTGTTAGCAGTCGTTGTATAAGTTTTACCTCCAGATGGAAATTTCTTCTGGAATTTGCGGACTCTTTCTGATCTTGAACTGTGACAGTTTTCATGCGATTCGACGGAGAGTGTCATCCGACTTCGTCAGAGGTTCTTCGTTTGCGTGCAGGTATCCATCCTCTGCTCCATCGTGTAAATCCTAGTTTTTGGCCTGTTGGTCTTCCCTTTATCTAAACTTCTGTTTATCTAAACGATTATCAAAGTAAATAAAATTTTCTTATCCGACATTGGAAGTTTGGTTGAAGTGTTTGTCGAATGAGCTGCATTCCAATGAGCGTTGGTTAGTGATTCTCCGGATTGAAATAATTTTCTCAATTGAAAAATTTAAAGATGGTTTTGGTATTTCGAACAATGACATGGCCATTAATTTATGTTTTACTGTACTTACAAGTCTTTCTAAAACATTATGAAGTGTAGTATAACTTTATCGGAAAGTGTGATAAATTTGAATTGAATATTGAATTGTCAAGGAGTAAACAATTAGAATAATACTTTTCCGCTCTCTCTGAAGTAAGAATTATTGCAAAATTTTATCGACTGAGCAAAATACGTGATAAAAGCAGCATTAATTCTGAGATTAAATGACGCTCATAAACTTGATTTGGAATCTTGACTAATGATATTGCTTCAAAGTTCCGCTCCCGACGGGATATTTTGATTAACAATTGAACATACAGTGACCGACAGTCTATCAACAAAATTTATATACACTCATAGTATTAAAAAGAGTCCTTTCAATAAAATTTTACGAGTTTTGTCCAATTAAGCAACGATTAAATTTTTGTCGTAGCGTGAGGGAGGTAAGGGTTTGTCCGAAAAAAGTTTATATAAAAGATCCGAAAGACTCATATCTTTTCCTGATAAAAGTCTACTTACCCAACGAGTTTGTCTACTATGAATATTTTTACTGCTGTGTATCACTGAAAGGACCAACAAATGTGCCTTTTGTTGTTGACAATCTAAAGTTCCGAGCAACAAAGGTAATTTTTACAGTTTTCAGAGGCCCACATTTCACCTAAAAAGTCTAGTTCGCTGATGGAATGTTTCACTTCGTGGCCGTTTAAAAAGCTTGAGGCGAATGCAATGGTTTCATACTCACCCTTGAAAATGTTCGAGGGTCAAACCTAATCCGTTGTTTGAGGCATCGGATTTCAATGTTTATTTACTTTTAAAATTAAAGTGATTGTTTTCCGTAATATTTACAATTTCTGATTTCAGTGTTTTCAAAGTGATTGAAGGGCTGTTATTCAATGGTAGACCGATTGTTTTTTTAAAGCGCGGTCGTAATATTGAACTCGTAAGGGATCGTAAGGGGGTCGTAAGGGGTCG